ACATCCCCTCCAATTCATGTTCTTTAATTTCATGGACACTTTAACTGGTGTACCGAAAAGGGTAACGACTCCTTAGTTCTCTAGATTTCCACTGGCATCAACATCATTCACCCTTCGTTTATGTGTGAAAAGACCAACTCCCTTAGCGAGACGTCACCTTCTCATTTAGACTTCCAAGCACTTTATACCTCTGTATTCGTCCAATTCTCCATCGAACGCAATTCGAGCTAGATTGGCAATTACAGTTGGTTCCTCTCGGGAAAAGGAATCGTGGCGCATTTTGGAAAAGCGAAAGAAGTAAAACGAGGTGAGGCCAATGACTCAGAGGGCACAAGAAGCCATCGTTGAAGACGCGAACACCCTCAGACAGAAAAAAGAGAACTTTTTTTTCTAGACCAAGCAATTACCAGGAGAGATTGTCCACAGCCTCTTGCCAATCGAAGCGACGAAGCACCACCCACCTTCCTTCGAGTCCCTCCGTGCGACCATGGCCACCAAATCCTTCCCCGGATTCCACTCACGCCATCTTCACCTGCCCGCCAAATCGGAAGAAATCGAGCAATAGCCTCACCAAAACCAAATCGGAAAACAATCAAATCGACCTGCCCATCAGGAAGACAGCGGGGTTTGTCGAACTTAAACCTGAAACGGAAGCACACGTGTGCTTCCGTTTCAGGTTTAAGTTCGACAAACCCCGCTGTCTTCGTCGGTCTCCATCGCTAGAAAGCTCCGCCAAGCAGCCGAAAACCGCAGCCACCATCTCTCGTGAAAAAGCGCACAGCTTTCTCGAGCTCCCAACAAGTGTACTGTTATCTTCTTTTAAGTAAGGACATGTTACCGACCAAAAAAAAAAAAGTAAGGACATGTTTCACGCTGGAATGTGAATCTCTCGAATTAATAGGTTAATTCTTCTTATAATCACGACCAAATGCGAAAAGGCAAACGCTGACTCTATTCCTCTTTCTATTTCGTTCATTTCTCCGTTTCGGTTCTACTTCGTACCTTCCTTTTCCCGTACCAAACGTGTCGTGAATTCTTTTGGGATCGTCTGCCGATCAGTTCCGAAAGCACCGGACTTTGTTATAATCTTCGTTATTCCAATGGAAGAAAGTTCCGATCGATGGTCAGTAATCTTCGGAAAGTACCTAATAGTTTGTTCTTTGAAATTCGTTACGAGGACGATGGAGATCAGGAAGTTTCTTTTTACCCTTGTCTCCTTTTTGCTAAGCCAAATGAAGATTGACGAGATGGGATGCTTTGTGCTGCCAATACGTCATCGTCTATCTTGTCTTCATTCTTTTTTTTTTTGCATTGCTTATACCTGATATGAACGTTTGATAATTGCTCTCCAAAATTATTCAGAAATACAATGGCAAAAATTCTCAAAAGAAAAAAAGAAAAAAAAACTCCAAACAGACCAGCACGGTAATGCGAAAAAGAAAAAGAAGATGAAAAAATGAATGAGAAAAGAAGCGCATTTGAAAATCGTGAAGTTTATTCGTACGGTCGCTTAACAAGTGTTTGGGCATTTCTTTTACGAAATCCTATTTGCTTTTTACAAACTCTTTTTTTTTTTGCTGCGAACGAGAATTTTGATCCGGTGGATTCTGCTATAGACAAAAACGATGCGCTTTTGTACGCTAACATGCGTTGTTGCTGATTAAAAATGAAAAGAGGAAAATCTATAAGTTGAGCGCGGATCGAGTGGTCCATCCATTCGTGTGTCGATCTTTGAACTGCATATAGCCCGCATGTACACTTGTGTGTTGAAATCACAAGAGTTCCGCGACGGATCAAATTGCTACACCTTTATCTATCAGTTGAAAAGATTAAGGTAAAATCACTTCCATAGTAGTGATCTGTATTGAATTGCCAACTGAAATCCTTCGCAGAAAGCGAACAATTTGAAAGATATTGTTGAAAATATAATCGCTCGTACGGTTGCAAAATGTACGAGAACGCAAGAAATTCTCATCATGCATGAAAATGTCTAGACATAAATTATTGTCGATGATGAGACGTATTTCATTGATCAATTATTTCAAGCAATACAAGCAATCACTTTTATAAATATAGTTTCCAAATCATTCATTCTTCGCTGACGTAACGTCCTGAATTCGCCCACTTCCAAGATTAATAAAATAGATGATTATTCCTCATTTCGTTTTAGGGAGTCTCGCCCGGAACTGATCATTCTCGGGATACTGACCAGCAGGGAAAGGCTAACTAGAAAAATGGTACGTGGACCAAAGAACTCGGCCGTGAATTGAGTCCGAATTCCGAGATGCGACAAGGAAATATTCTGTGCCAATGAGGGTCGATCCAAGGAGAGTGACGGGTTTAGTTTGGCCAACAACGCACGATCGGATCGCGGGTGATGTCGCACGACCGAGAGTGCACGTGGCGAACGACCCCGAACTTACTCCGAACGATCGCGACCCCCGAGACTAGCGATAAATCCTTGTGTTCTCGAGGAAATCGGGACCGTCATAACTCGAGTAGCCCTAAGTCGATACGCGTAACCCCTAAACAGCCGCCCGTTAGTGAGAGACGCTAAAATCGCAAATTGAGCGAAATCGATCGTGGAATTGAGTCCGGACTTCGGTGTCGAATTTCGTGGGCGTACGCGACTATTTTGCAAAGACGACGTCATTTTTATGTGGCCACTCATATTTGGGTTCAGTAGAGTCAAAAATTGGAAATTTGACCCGGGACCGGAAATTTACCGTTTTGCCCTTGTGCCCTAGCCTTGTATTCCGAATTTTGGGTTTGTTTAGAGATTATTTTAAGGTTTTATATTGCATTGTATCAGCCCAATAATGCTGGAATTTTGGACCCTAATGCCCCCAAGATTTTTAGCAAGTCTTAATCTTAGCCTTTGGATTAGGGGCAAGATGGTCATATTGGCAAAGTTGGTCACCAACTCCCACTAAGCAATTTGTTGAACTCTCTCTAGTCTCTCTCTCTCCTCCCATTTCCTCCTCTCCAAGCCACCGGCCACCCTCTCCTCTCTCCCTCTCCCGTGAGTCTTTCTCTCCCTCTCGGCCTTACCCCGCCGCCCTTCGCCGGAGCGCCAGCGCCGGTGCCGCCACCGTCCGCCGCTCGCCCCGCCTTGCACCACCACCAGCCCGACCAGCTCTCTCTCCCTCTCTCTCTCTCTCTCCCTTTTTCCAGCCGTGAGATCAGCCCCTCGCCTAGCCCGCCGCCATCCGCAAGTCGCCGCCGTTGGCACCGCCGAGGGAGCCGCCGGTCGCCGCCACTGTTCCGGCGCGGGACCACCTCAGCCCAGCCTTCCTTGCCACTTGTTCAGCCTTGTTTAAAGCCTAGGAATCCAAGTGAGTACCACCCTAAACCCTAGTTAAGCTAATTTACATTTCTAGATGGGTTTTAGGGGTTAATTGGGGTAATTTGGGGGTTAGTTTGTGGAAGTTGTTAGGGGCTGATTTTGTGGCGCATTTGGTAGCTTAGAGCGATGTTTTAATCAAGGTTTAGTGGTCTGTGGTGTGCTGAATGGTGGCTAAGCTTAGGCGCCTTGAATCGGGTAAAAATTGTGAATTTGGCGGATGAAATTTGTGAGCCAAACGGTGGCTGTTTTTATGGCGATTTTGGTGGTCTAATGGGATGTTTTAGAAGTGGATTGATGGCCTAAGATGGACTGTTTGTGGCTGATTGGTATCGGGATGATTCGGGCCATATTTGATTATTCGAGGTTTTAGGGTGAACGGCTTAGGGAATAGTGATCACCCGTGAGGATGCTAAATTAGATATGGCTTGAATGTGGTTGTGTGATGCTCTATGATATGCTTGACATGGCCAATCTATACAATGTTTGGTAGGCAATCGGCATGTGTGATTTTGGTGTTTAATTGCGTGAATTTGGGTGCTAAACTATATGTTGTGACCGATTTGGATTTGGTTGGTTCTTTGGGCATATTGAAATGCGAATCGAGTATGTAACCAAATCATGTTGAGTGTCCAGTGTAGAATTCACGAATGCCGAGTGTGACATTGTGGCCCTGTGCGTGCATACTGAGTATGGGCATATCATGTGCATTATGCGTGAGTGCACGAACGGCATGAACATGTGATCACCTAAAATGCCCTGATGCATTTTACGCGGGGTTCAGAAAATAATTGGTGATTGTGAATGTGTGATCACATAAAACCCTAATGCGTTTTACGCGGGGTATTGAAACCGTCGTGAGGCGTGTTACGCGGGACGATGCCCGGACTACCGGAAGATGGCCAACCTTGTAACATCCTAAATTTCGACCTATTTGCGGAATCAATGAAATAGATGTTATTTCTTATTTCATTTTAGTAAGTCTCGCCCGGAACTGATCATTCTTGGGATACTAACCTTTGGGAATGACTACCTAGGAAAATGTACGTGGACCTAAGAACTCGATCATGAGTCGACCTTCGGTGACGATCGAGGTCGCCATGACTCGAATAACCCTAGGTCGATACGCCTAATCCCTAAACAGCCGCCCGTTAGTGAGAGACCCTAAAATTGAGATTGGGCGATTTTGATCGCGAAATTAGATCCGGACTTGGATGTCGATTTTCGGGATCGTGCGCGACTATTTTTATGAGGATGACGTCATTTTAGTATGGCCAATGATATTTGGGGTTGGTATGGTCGAAAAATGGAAATTCGGCCCGAGACCGGAAAATTACGACTTTACCCCTAGGCCTATTTTTGGGTATTCCGAATTTTAGGGGGAATTATTGGAAAATTATTTTGGGAAATTAAGACGATAAGATCAGCCCAATAATGCAAGGATAAAAAGACTAAAATGCCCTTGGATATTTTGGCTTAGATTAATATAGACCAAGTGCGAGAGAGGCAAAATGGGCATTTTGGAAAAATTGGTCAAAATTTGACTATTTAAGTCAAATCTCTCTCTCTCTCCTCACTCATTTCCCCTCCCCCACGGCAGCCCCCTCCCCTCCAAATTCTTCCTCTCTCTCCCTCCCGAACTCTCCCCCACCGTGAAGCCCCCATCGCCGGACCGCCATCGTCGCCGCTTGCCTTCGCCACCGCCAAGCCGCGCCGCCGTCCACCGCCGTCCCCGCCGTTTGCCGCTGCGCTACGTTCTAGCCGCTTTAGTCTAGAACCAAGTTAGTCGCGATCTAATCCCTATTTAGGACGTCGGGTAATTTCGGACTCGTTCGGGTATGGTTTAGAGGATTTAGAGGTTGATTAAGGTGTCGATAATGGTTTTTGGTGGTTGATCGTGGTTATTGGTGGCTGATCGTGGTTGTTGATGGCTGATCATGACTGTTAGCGGTTGTTGCGGGTTGGATTAGACGTCGGGAAATGAGTTTAGGCGGTTGGAATTCGGTAGAAATCGGTTCGGGTTTGAATCCGTGAGGTTCGGGGTGAATCGCGGATTCGCGGTTGCTGTACCCGCCCGGTTTGCTATTTTTGTAGAGAATTTTTGTGGGTCGACTTTGAGAAAGTTTTCTTGATGAAAGTTGTTTCCAACATCTTGAGGTATAACATAATTTAATTGGGGAATATTTGGAAATCATTTGAGGCCATTCGGAAGTCCATCTTTGGACTGAAATGGGTCTGCCCGATTTACTGTTCACCCGACCTTCGGGTCTGTTCGAATTTTTATAAATTTTTCCAGGCCTATTTTCAAAATACTTCCTTCACAAAAATTGTTGGGGACATTTGTGGCTATAACATATAAACATTTCAAAGCTTTTCAAGGTGATTTGGATGTTTAAAGAAATGTATTTTGAGGACAAACAGTCTGTTAGAGCGAACAGATTTTGGTCTGACTTCGAGGGACAAAAAGGCATGGTTGTAGATTGAACCGGATTTCGTGTTCTTCATAAGAAATGTTGATAAATATGTTTTTTATGACATATCCAAAATTTATAATTTTTGGAGTTGGTTTACTATTTATTTCAAATAGATTTCTGTCACTGCACAACTGCCCAGTTTGGACCCGATTTTACATATTCTCGGTTTTTCTCTCTCTCGAGAATTATTCGGTGTTATCGTGGCATTTTGACGGGTATTTTGATGCTTGAATGAGCTCGTATGTGTGATTGTGTGGCTGTGAGGTGTGGTGGCGTGATTGCGCATTGAGTTCGCATGCCAAGCTTGGGTGTTTGTGTGGTGTTCGCGTGATGAGGGTGGGTAATTGTGAAAAGTATGTGCGAGATGTGAATTTGTGTGTGACCATGTGTATGTGTGGCCGTGTGATACGTGTGGAGAGTGTGGAATGAAGGTACGGAAATGTAGGATTGATGGGAAAAGTAATACCCTGAGGCGTGTTCGTTTACGCGGGGTAAGGTCCATCCTGAGGCGTGTTCGTTTATGCGGGACGATGCCGTCCCTGACGAGGTGACGATGCTCGGCCTGATGGGGTGACGATGCCTGACGTGGTCAGAAGACCGTTGGCCTGATGCGTTTTACGCGGGCGCGGTAGAAGGAAAGTGTGTGTAGGATTCCGTCCTGAGGCGTGTTCGTTTACGCGGGACGATGCCGTCCCTGACGAGGTGACGATGCCCGGCCCGACGGGGTGTCGATACCGACGAGGTCAGAAGACCGTTGGCCTGATGCGTTTTACGCAGGCGCGGTAGTGGTGGAAAGGTTGAGAACGAGCGGGATTTGGCTTGATATGTGAGGATTGTGAAAGTGATGCATGGTGTGAGTTAGTGTGCGAGTGTGTTTGTATCGCGTGATGCAGTGCGCGATTATGGGGTAAAATCTACTAGGCATGGTTTGGAACGTGCTCAAGTAGGTTTTGCCTTATAATCGAGGCACGGGCGCGGCTGTGATGTATTGCTATGGTATGATTGGCGTGTGTATCGATATGTGGAAAGTGTGTGATGGCATGTGTGCAAGAATTGTATGTTGGGATTGTGGGCTAACGTGCATGGTGCGTATGCAGAGAGTCCAGGTATGTGTGAATGTTTGATTGTTGGTTTTGTGGTTGTTTGGTTGCGCGTTTGGATGTGTCTGGAATTACGTGATAGCCTAGGTGGGGCTTAGGTTGTGACTTATTGAGATGTGATCTCATGGTTGTTTCAACCAAACCATTTCAGAGCCCCCGCCTGAATGTCGAGATTGAGGTCGACTCGGAGTCGTCGGGTGAGTAGACAGCTGCGGAGGATTCAGGTGGTGATGCCGAGGACAGTGAGTCAGAGTGGACGCCTTCGAGAGGGCGTAGGGAAAAGTTCTGGGAGGAGGATGCGCCCCATTTTTGGATAGTGCTGACCAAGAGAGCTGATCTTGATATTTTGGTGGTTTGGAGTTTATAGTTCGGTGTGCTTATAAATTATTTTGTGGTTTGTATTGGCGGATGATGTAAATATTTGGAAGTGTAATATATGCTTGGTAGTTTGACGATTTGTTCCTTCCTGGTGTTCTCCAATTTTAATGTCCGGGATTTTTGATTACTTCCGCCGCGATTTAACTCTGATGGATCGTTGGGTCGGCGACGTTATTCCTGGGACGTCGCACTCTTCCGACCGAGGAGAGGGATGTCGCAGGCTCGATGGGGTTCGAGGCGTGACATCCTCTGTTGAATTGGTATCAGAGCAAGGACAGCTCGATTTAAGTTGATCGAAGCTTGGAGTGATAAGAAGTGGAGACCCAGGATAGCTGTAGTTAGTTAGGGAGACCTTAGTGAACCATAGTGTGTCTAGGGCTACATGTATTTCCAGACTGTTGTTGTGATTGTTGAGTGAATTGGGTGTTTTATCGGAATGCAGGTGCGTCTGGACCTGAGGTAAGTGCACGAACCCTTTTGATGTGGTTTGGTGCTGTGTGATTGATTGCCTGCTAAGTGGATTACTGTGTCAACTCACTGCCTAGGACTAGACTGGGTTAGTTGGCCTAAGTCTTGAATTCTTGGATGGAATTATAGCAGATAGGAGAGTGATAGAAAGCTGGGATGATGAGCAGCTAGGGAAGAGGTGCTTGAAAGGGTACAGGCAGAAGAGCCAGAGGTCGAGGTGGTGCTCGAGTCAGAGCGATAGAGGATCTTGGAATTGATGCTAGGTCTGCAGAGAACCCCAGAGTTGAGGCTAGACCTGTAGAAAACTCTAGAGTTGACGCTAGAGCTGCAGTAGATCCCAGAGTTGATGTTAGGGCTGCAGGGGATCCTCGAATGGATGGAGTTATAAGGGCCCTCGAGGAGGTTGGGGTTTTGATGGGTAGGCAGACTCAGGAACGAGATGCCATTATCGCCCAAGCAGTTGAGGCCGCTGTGGCTATTACCCTCAATGGCAACAATGGAAATCGGGGGCATGTAAATGCGAATCGACTAATGCATCAGCTGGTTGAACAGTTTCTAAAGTTAAAGCCCCCTAAGTTTGATGGTGGAGGTGATTTGGTGGCTGCGTCACTTTGGGTAGAGGAGTTGGAAAAGGCTTTTGATGTACTAGGACGTACGGATGAGGAGAAAGTGACGTTGGCGGTGTATCAGCTTCGGGGGAATGCGAGTGATTGGTGGAAAGCCACCAGAAGAAGAGTATTCCCAGCTGGTACCGCCCAGACTTGGGCGATGTTTGTGGAGACTTTCAATAATAAGTATTTTTCTAAGAGTGCTAAGGAAAAGGAGTTGGTGGAGTTTATGAGGCTTTACCAGGGGCAAAGGACAGTGGACCAGTATGAGGCTAAGTTCACGAAGTTATCTAAGTTTGCCCCTAGGATGATGAAGGATCCATGGGATAGAGCTCGGAGGTTCCGAGATGGTTTGAAACCGAACCTCCGTAGTCAGATGATTTCGCTGAATCTGAGAGACTATAATGAGATCTATGATCGGGCTCAAGCAATAAAGCGGGATTTAGCGGATAGAGACGCTGCTTCTGGGTCGAGATACGTTTCGGCGAGAGACAATCGGAATCTTGGGAAGAGACCGATGACGGAGGATCAGCATTTGTTCCTTCCGTTAGAAGGGATATTGGAAAACCGAATCGTTATCAGGATGTTGTATGCTAGTTGTGTGGTAGAAGACATGGGACTAGACCTTGTCCAAGAAGGAATATTATATGTTATAATTGTGGCATGTTATGGCTTCCTTGATTGACAAGATTTTAGTTTCGTTGGGGTACCCGGATTGCAAGATTGTAACTGGTAATGGGAAGGAAAGAACTGATTAGCGGTTCTAGAGATGTAGGATTTGGATGTAATAGTGGGTATGGACTGGCTAGTTATACAGAGGGCAGTAATGGGTAAGTATCCCTTGCCGAGGATCGGAAAGACGAGTTTTGAGGAGCAAGACGATCCCAATGGTTAAGGTTGTGTGGGAATATCACGGGACAAAAAGTACGACCTGGGAAAGTGAAGAGGCCATGCGACGTCAATACCCCCATTTGTTTGAGGAATTGGTTGAGTTGTAAATTTCGAGGACGAAATTTTTATAAGGGGGAAGAGTTGTAACATCCTGAATTTCGACCTATTTCCGGAATCAATGAAATAGATGTTATTTCTTATTTTATTTTAGTAAGTCTCGCCCGGAACTGATCATTCTCGGGATACTAACCTTTAGGGAATGGCTACCTAGGGAAATGTACGTGGACCTAAGAACTCGATCATGAGTCGACCTTCAGTGACGATCGAGGTCGCCATGACTCGAATAACCCTAGGTCGATACGCGTAATCCCTAAACAGCCGCCCGTTAGTGAAAGACCCTAAAATTGAGATTGGGCGATTTTGATCGCGAAATTAGATCCGGACTTGGATGTCGATTTTCGGGATCGTGCGTGACTATTTTTACGAGGATGACGTCATTTTAGTATGGCCAATGATATTTGGGGTTGGTATGGTCGAAAAATGAAAATTCGGCCCGGGACCGGAAAATTACGACTTTGCCCCTAGGCCTATTTTTGGGTATTCCGAATTTTAGGGGGAAGTATTGGAAAATTATTTTGGGAAATTAAGAGGATAAGACCAGCTCAATAATGCAAGGATGAAAAGACTAGAATGCCCTTGGATATTTTGGCTTGGATTAATGTAGACCAAGTGCGAGAGGGGCAAAATGGGCATTTTGGAAAAATTGATCAAAATTTGACTAATTAAGTCAAATCTCTCTCTCTCTCCTCACTCATTTCCCCTCCCCCACGGCAGCCCCCTCCCCACCAAATTCTTCCTCTCTCTCCCTCCCGAACTCTCCCCCACCGTGAAGCCCCCATCGCCGGACCGCCGCCGTCGCCGCTTGCCTTCACCACCGCCAAGCCGCGCCGCCGTCCACCGCCGTCCCCGCCGTCCACCGCCGTCCCCGCCGTTCGCCGCCGCGCTACGTTCTAGCCGCTTTAGTCTAGAACCAAGTAAGTCGCGATCTAATCCCTATTTAGGACGTCGGGTAATTTCGGACTCGTTCGGGTATGGTTTAGAAGATTTAGAGGTTGATTAAGGTGTCGATAATGATTTTTTGTGGTTGATAGTTGTTATTGGTGGCTGATCGTGGTTGTTGATGGCTGATCATGACTGTTAGCGGTTGTTGCGGGTTGGATTAGACGTCGGGAAATGAGTTTAGGCAGTTGGAATTCGGTAGAAATCGGTTCGGGTTTGAATCCGTGAGGTTCGGGGTAAATCGCGGATTCGCGGTTACTGTACCCGCCCGGTTTGCTATTTTTGTAGAGAATTTTTGTGGGTCGAATTTGAGAAAGTTTTCTTGATGAAAGTTGTTTCCAACATCTTGAGGTATAACATAATTTAATTGGGGAATATTTGGAAATCATTTGAGGTCATTTGGAAGTCCATCTTTGGACCGAAATGGGTCTGCCCGATTTACTGTTCACCCGACCTTCGGGTCTGTTCGAATTTTTATAAATTTTTCCAGGCCTATTTTCAAAATACTTCCTTCAGAAAAATTGTTGAGGACATTTGTGGCTATAACATATAAACATTTCAAAGCTTTTCAAGGTGATTTGGATGTTTAAAGAAATGTATTTTGAGGACAAAACAGTCTGTTAGAGCGAACAGATTTTGGTCTGACTTCGAGGGAAAAAAAGGCATGGTTGTAGATTGAACCGGATTTCGTGTTCTTCATAAGAAATGTTGATAAATATGTTTTTTATGATATATCCAAAATTTAGAATTTTTGGAGTTGGTTTACTATTTATTTCAAACGGATTTTTGTCACTGTGCAACTGCCCAGTTTGGACCCGATTTTACATATTCTCGGTTTTTCTTTCTCTCGAGAATTATTCGGTGTTATCGTGGCATTTTGACGGGTATTTTGATGCTTGAATGAGCTCGTATGTGTGATTGTGTGGCTGTGAGGTGTGGTGGCGTGATTGCGCATTAAGTTCGCGTGCCAAGCTTGGGTGTTTGTGTGGTGTTCGCGTGATGAGGGTGGGTAATTGTGAAAGGTATGTGTGAGATGTGAATTTGTGTGTGACCGTGTGTATGTGTGGCCGTGTGATCGTGTGGAGAGTGTGGAACGAAGGTACGGAAATGTAGGATTGATGGGAAAAGTAATACCCTGAGACGTGTTCGTTTACGCGGGGTAAGGTCCGTCCTGAGGCGTGTTCGTTTACGCGGGACGATGCCGTCCCTGATGAGGTGACGATGCCCGGCCCGACGGGGTGACGATGCCTGACGTGGTCAGAAGACCGTTGGCCTGATGCGTTTTACGCGGGCGCGGTAGAAGGAAAGTGTGTGTAGGATTTCGTCCTGAGGCGTGTTCGTTTACGTGGGACGATGCCGTCCCTGACGAGGTGACGATGCCCAGCCCGACGGGGTGTCGATGCCTGACGAGGTCAGAAGACCGTTGGCCTGATGCGTTTTACGCGGGCGCGGTAGTGGTGGAAAGGTTGAGAACGAGCGGGATTTGGCTTGACATGTGAGGATTGTGAAAGTGATGCATGGTGTGAGTTAGTGTGCGAGTGTGTTTGTATCGCGTGATGCAGTGCACGATTATGGGGTAAAATCTGCTAGGCATGGTATGGGACGTGCCCAAGTAGGTTTTGCCTTATAATCGAGGCACGCGCACGGCTGTGATGTATTGCTATGGTATGATTGGCGTGTGTATCGATATGTGGAAAGTGTGTGATGGCATGTGTGCAAGAATTGTATGTTGGGATTGTGGGCTAACGTGCATGGTGCGTATGCAGAGAGTCCAGGTATGTGTGAATGTTTGATTGTTGGTTGTGCGGTTGTTTGGTTGCGCGTTTGGATGTGTTTGGAATTACGTGATAGCCTAGGTGGGGCTTAGGTTGTGACTTATTGAGATGTGATTTCATGGTTGTTTCAACCAAACCATTTCAGAGCCCCCGCTTGAATGTCGAGATTGAGGTCGACTCGGAGTCGTCGGGTGAGCAGACAGCTGCGGAGGATTCAGGTGGTGATGCCGAGGACAGTGAGTCAGAGTGGACGCCTTCGAGAGGGCGTAAGGGATAGTTCTGGGAGGAGGATGCGCCCCATTTTTGGATAGTGCTGACCTAGAGAGCTGATCTTGATATTTTGGTGGTTTGTGCTTATAAATTATTTTGTGGTTTGTATTGGCGGATAATGTAAATATTTGGAAGTGTAATATATGCTTGGTGGTTTGACGATTTGTTCCTTCCTGGTGTTCTCCAATTTTAATGTCCGGGATTTTTTATTACTTCCGCCGCGATTTAACTCTGATGGACCGTTGGGTCGGCGACGTTATTCCTGGGACGTCGCACTCTTCCGACCGAGGAGAGGGATGTCGCAGGCTCGATGGGGTTCGAGGCGTGACAAACCTGATGCGTTTTACGTGAGTTTTGTGTCATGAGCCTGATGCGTTTTACGCGGGCGAGAGATCGATCTCGAAGTGATAGACTTGATGCGTTTTACGCGGATCGGAGGAGAATTGATAATTGCAAGTGTGCAAGAGTGCGAGCGTGCGAAAATGCATTGATGAGGCGTGAGCACGCGTATGAGCACGAGCATAAGCATGACATGCGTTGTGACCAAATGATGTGTGCATGTGCCGCGATTGGGTCCTATGTTTTATTCTTGAATTGTTAGTGCCTAACCTGCAGGGCAAGGTAAGGATTGGATTTGGGCTCGAGGGCCTAAGTCAATTATGATTTGATTGGTGTGTTGATTGGTGCTCGTCAGGAGGTGCATGTTAGCCTAGCTTACGTTTAGGAAACCTACTCGCTGAGATTTATTCTCACTATTGTTGAGACCTAATTTTTTCAGACCCCCGGCCTTGAGATGTCTGCTATACTTGTTCATTTTGGGATTCCTTACCGGATAGACTGGGAGGAGTCGGTGTACCCCGCAGGGAACGGGGATTTTTGGGTTAGATACCTGTCTACAGTTCAGGTTGATGCAGGCGAAGATGTTGACCAGGTCCATAGATATATAGCGTGGTGTATCAGGGACCATGAGGGGACCTACGGGCCTCTCCGATCTTTTGAGGTTCTACTTACCGATTCGGGGGATGTTGACCATCAGTGCCCTGATGGAGAGTTGCTAAGCCCTGATTGTGCACCGGAGGATGGGGATTCAGGTCTGGAGCCAATGGATTCGGAGGATGAGGAACCAGAGCCCATGGAGCAGGACATGGAGCAGGAGGACGAGGCTGAGCCGATGGATTCTGAGGAAGAGTCAGCTGGGGCCAAGTCCGAGCAGAATTCCCTAGACTCGGAGATTGAGATGTCTGATAGCTCTTCCGAGTCATCGGGATCCGACTCAGACTGGATTCCGTAGGTTTAGCCTTAGTCCTAGATAGGGAGGGCCAGTACCTTTTTGACCGGAGCCCTTCTAATTTAGTAACCCTGACCACCCAGGCCACTTACACCTTTTTGTTAGTAGTGGCCATTGACCCGCTTTTGATTTTTGAGCGCAAGCTGTAAATGGATGATGTATATGGTTCCCAGTATCAATGCAAGTGTATATTTGTTCATGTCATTAGTTGTGTGGCTATCCTTGGTTATGTGGTTTTAAATTGTACGGGTGTTGTATTGCTTCCGCATGTGCCTTGTACTCTGTTTGGGCGTTGGGTCGGCGACGCGTCCTGGGACGTCGCACGTATAATCGACCGCGGTAGGGATGTGGCGTGCCGTAGGGTGCGGGGCGTGACAGCTGAACAAAAGGAGCCTTAATTCGCGTCAATCTACAAATAATGTCATATGGCATGATGTTCAGGTTTGTCTGATAAACGATATCGTTTAATTCGGGTCCATATGTTCATTGGTAATCTCGTTGCGCACCCTAACAAAGCCCTCCTCCTCCGCTTGTCAAACATCGTAAAGGCCCGCCACGTCAGACTCATGGGACATCACATTGTTGCTAATGTGGTGGTGGATTAGTTATTGAAATGCAATTTGGAAAAAAAGCAATGTGATCATCCTCATTTACTTTTGAATTAAAAAAAAACATATGCTAATGAATTATTCAAAATCGGCATCTTACAAGAGTGAACATTCACGCATACTTAAATGTCGAGACGACGGGCCAAAGCTCGAACTCGACCAAGCCATTTGCTGTCACCACCCAAGCTCCAAACACTCAACCGGATAAAAATACTCGACCATGTCGTTTGCCATCACCACCCGAAATCCACCCCCTTACCGCATGCCATTTTTTTCTTATTTTCCAATTTGTGATGATTTATTATCGAACTCGAACGTACGGAATTATTCCCTAGTCGAGCGGCGAACGCTCTCCATGTCCATGCCTACTGAGCCGGATATGGACTGACCCTACACCAGCTGCTTTTTCTTTGGTCTTTTGGTAAGTTATTCTGAAGGCACAATATACATTTGCACCGGTCGACATCGGGCAGAGTCGCAAACAATGTAAACCAGATTCCGGTGTACTAAAATTTAGGATGAACTTCCTCAAACTACAAATGGACTGAATTTGAAATAAAAAACAATTTGCTCGCCTGAAAGCACCAATTACCAATCAAAAGCTTGGTTGCATTCTGAGGCCTCTGACGCAGTCCCTCAACCAGGCTGCAATACCTCTGCAAGACTCGAACCAATTTCGAACAGAACAATCAATTTGCCTTCCAAAATCCTCACGTCTCAAAAAAAAAAAAAAAAGAGTACTTCGACTCAGCTTTAATCAAGGATGAGGCTTCAATTACCAGCTGCCTCATCGTACCAAACGACCCACTCAAATGCAACGGCAGCAAAAGAGGACTCGAAAGCTCCAATGGGAAACCCTCATCAAGTGCATACCAAACGCAGAAAGTGATCGCAAAGTTCCCTCAAAGTTCTCCAACAAAGCTTGATGTTTTGCTTCAAACCGCGGCATTCTTCCAACACCCTTCAAGGTCTCATGCATCACCTCATCGGTGACCTCCGAGCAGCAGATGGACAGGGACTTAAGATTACTCCGAGCGATACTCCCACGACACGAGAAGCTAAAGGGCCTCAAATGCAGATTCACCAACGAAGAGCATCCGTGAAGGGGCAGTGGAACCGCGCTCGCACGTCCTCGTATCCACGTTGACAGAAAGATCCTCGGGGAAGGCGGTGGACAGCAAAATGAAGCGACGGGCTGAGAATAGGCATCCAATAGTCGAGAAATTCAATGTCCATGCGGAAACTTCCTGACACTAGGTGACGCGTACAGAGGATCAAGACGCTGTCCATGAATGGGGTGTCGTGCCAGGGGAGGGGAGAAGACGAGGTCAGGGACACGTGTCACCCGCTGGAGACACAACCTGCAATTTTCCCATGCATTTTAAATGCGAGTGGCTACCATACGTTGTTGGATCACAAGTTTGAATCCTAGTACGGATTCATGGGGCTACGATGATGAGAGGGCTTGCTCATGTTGAAATACCGAGTAAATTCATTGCAGACGTGAAGATTTGAGAGGGCGATGAATAAAGGAGGATTTAATTTGAGAGTAAATTCAGCTAAAGTTCACAAAAAGCTATCATCACGATAAATAATAAACATAAGAAGAGAAGTGTCACACATGTTACATTCACACATTCTTTCTCCTCGAGATTGGCAATAATTCCAAGAGAAAGAATAATGCAATGAAACAATTTTAGATTCCTAAATGTTTATACATCATTAACTTAAAAAGACTACATGATACTCTTTATTAAGGAAGTGAAATCCATTAACGATATTTTAGACATAATCTCAAGATCTTAAACCAACCATTTTTTTGAGGATTCCAAATCTCTGAGATTGGAATATAGCATATATTCTTTACTACCACATTGAAACCATATATATATATATATATATATATATATATATATATATATATATATATATATTTGGCTAATCATGTTCCACACAAGAATGTATTTTGCACATCGGATGGGATGCATCACTTAATAATGACACGTGAAGGAGCGAGTCAATCTCGGGTGAGAGATTTCAACATTCAAATAAAAAGTTCGTTAGTCGAGTACACTGTGCGAACCATTTACCATTCAACCCAAAGTATAAATAATCCAAACCAAACATTTGGTTCTCTTACAAATGAAAATAATAAACATATACAGATGAAGCAAAAGCTTGGCACTATCGAGTGGGTCTCAGAGCTTGCAGCAATACCACGAAGACAGTTACCACCGGACAGAAGCCATGACTCAGCATCTTTCGGTCAATTCTATCTAACTCGATAGATAAATAGTTACCTTTTACTCCATCTTCCTCTTCGACAAATGCCTGCCTAGCAGAAAAGGCACATGGCAGGTATAAATTAAGACTCTCCAAGAAGGGTGGAGTGTAAGCGCTTCAGTCAGAAAGCCCACATGCATTGCTTCTCACACTGATGTCTGCAGCTTCAAGGCTTAAGAGGTTCACCCACTGGAACGACACGGGCATAACCACCACAAATTCTTGAACATACCGTCATTCTGAATCAGAAATTTCATCTTCATCCTCGTCCAGTATGTAGACCAGGGCCTGCATTCTTGCAGCTAAAACACAAGCCACACCTCTACTTGCTGTTGCCAAAAAAACATCAACTTGATTTCAGTCTGGTGTTCCTTGAATATATGGCCATAGCTAACGTGATGTTTAGATACCTTTGCTGGGTAAAAGTAAAAGTACAACACATGAATTATGCTAAAACACAGGCGGGAAGCAAACCTTGCGTGCCTAAAGAGGCTATGGCATGCATGTAAACTATGAATACTCTACAGTATCTTGATCTATCATCATGAAATTGTACACAGTGGTTCTCAGTCGGTAACTCAGACTGCAATGCAACTACCATAAGAGGATGATTTTTCTTTTTGTATTTGTCTGGCGACTATGGATTCATCCTTTCCGCACTTTGTCCTCTCAATTGATTTAAAATTTAGGGGAAAAACTAATACTTCAGTATTTTACCTCTTAGACTGAAAAAATGTTCTTCTTTGGAGCATACTTTTGCACAACTTCAATCTGTAGGAACAAACATGAAGTGGTCCATTAAGGAGGCAAAATGTACCTATGCCAGTCACATTTAAACTTAAGAGTAGGTTCTAAGTGGAAATGTAGCAAGGAGCATGGACAGGATTAATTCAGTTCCACCACCCAGCCAACTAGACAAATTTGTTACTGACACTGGCAAGTTTATCAAACATTGTTACACAAAGGAAAGAGTATGGGTAACAATAAGTTTCCAGACATCCAAAACTGCAAATGGACATGGTAAGAAGCTCAAAGAAAAATTTTTCAGAACTACACAATTGATGGCATCGCAATGAATTGATCCTTAGCTCGATAGTATGACAGTGTCAAAATGTTCTTACCACTAACTGACAAGGGAGGAACTACAGTATGGGGAATGCTGCGAAGCTTCTCATTCTCCATCTCCAGGCGCAAGATAGGGTCCTAGATGTGTAGTTTCACTGGGGTTAGTGTTTCAAAAGTGAGAATAATATAACCAAGCAAAAATGTCCTCACAAAATAGAAGCAAAAATGGCACTACTAACCCATTATGGCCATCAAATGCACATTTCTTAACCTACACAAAGTACAAGGCTCCAGCTGTCAAGATATGTTGGAACTTTTGCAGTTACGGTAAGGCAGAAAGTAAAACATCCTTTGAAATCGCAAGCATGCATTGGCATGTATATGCATTATGCACATAGGAGGAAAAACTAAGCTGCTGGTACACATGCTGATGAGGAGAGCAGATAAATAATAAATAGGAACAATAAAAGAACAAATGTTTTTAAAACCGGACCAGTGGTTCAACCGGTCAAACAGGTAGAACCGTGCTCTACAGGTTTGACCGATTGAACCGATTGCATGTGATGTCATCTGATAGAATACTCTGCATATATTAGATAACACACATTCAGAACAAAAGAAGCCCAGTGAGTCGGCAGACACCGTAGCATCTAAACAGATTAGACACGCTTGATGTCATTATCCACCACAAATTGAAGAAAGAAGAACTGGTCCAGACTAGTTGACAGATTTGCCGGGTACCAGTTGACAGGTACACCTGGTTACCGGTTGAACAGGATCAATACCACCAGTTCTTGACCAATACCATTTCTGCTGGGAAACCAGACTTGACAGGTCTGGTTCCCAGTCCAACCAGAGCCACTTCTTAAAACTCTGAAAAGAACAGGAGTCGACAGAAAAGCACAATATGCTAGTTTTTTCCTTTTGTGATCAATGTCTTAAATAGTGAATTGACATGATCGGAATAGAACTCAGGATATTATGAGTAAGAAATCAATATGCAAGCTCCGGATCCACGAGTTACCTTCAATTGGTACAACTCCCAGTTATTTGCACAAGCGGTTCCTGCAATATGCACAAATGCAAGGTCACTGGCCCACAAGATCGTCATCCCGGTATCTCCCAAGTTTTCACGAGTATCATTCATCTTATTTAGCAACATAACAATTTGATGTTCCTGTTTCCAAAATAATATATTAGCCACATTTGCAAATTTGGGCTATAAAATATGATATTCCAAGCTTTTACCTTATATAGAGCCAAATCCACACAACAGTGACCAGGAGGGATGCACAACAAGATCCTTCCAAAGGTCTTCCCCGCTTCACATTGCTTAAATCATTGGTAAGTCCTCACACTATTGCTATACAATTTGTTACAACTAAAAAAGACTCGTCAGGTATTTGGAAGGAAATATGATCTGAAGCAAATTCAGAGTCATCCTGCAGAGCCATACAGAGAAATGATTAGCATGAAAAAGTAGTTGTACTCTCCACATGTGGATCTCTGGATAATATTTGTATTTTCAGATTAAAGGTATATACCCCATAGAAGGACAGTGAATTGGGAATGTATCTGGTGGATGCTGAAACTGACGTAAGAGGGAATAGTGGCAATGAATTCTTACAAAGTATCTTTTTTGAAATAGAAGAGAAAGGCATCTGGGCAACTTCCTTGAAACTGTGATGATCAAATTAGATTCGAATCAGGAAACATGAGATACAGTATTTCCATACACAAGGATCATAAGCTAAACAAAGAGCCCAATCCGATAAGATCACCCAACTAAAGCTTCCATGTACATTGTCAAGTAATCAAACCTGAGATCAAATATGAAAAACTAGATTATTGGACAGAGGGTAAGTGAAAAACCATTGTTGAGGACAACCTCCATAAGACAACCCCTAAACCCCAAAGGTTTCCTTTTCTTTCTCTCCATCTCTTATTATAGTCTCAAGGTTTTGGCCACTCAGGCAAGGATATGAAAAATATAGGTACAACTTTAAGGTAATAGGCATATGGATAGAAATATCTACAGACAAACCCCATTAACAGAAGTCCTCAATCAGCCAAACGAGAAATGAATATTTCAGCTCAAATAATTGATGAGTCGAGTAAAACCAAAAGCACAAGGCTTTTTTTAAAGGATTGCAATGTTTACAGAAACCAATTTTGAGCGCGGGTAATCATACTCAAACTCCTGTTATGCATACAAAGAGGTCCAGAATTTCACATTTGGTACACATATCAGCAATGAGGACCAGACTTGAAGGGGGGAAAAAGCAATCACTTCAAACAACAGATAACAGCAATGATTTATCACATAGTTCATATTTTTACCACTGAGGTAGCATGTTTAAGAACATTTATGAATGGAAAAGTAGATTAGCAATAATGTGAAGAATTTACGATGAAAGAGCAATAAACAACACATTCAAGTACCTTACCAAAAAAAAAAAAAACAACACATTCAAGTAAGAACTTCTATACACTAAAAAGATTCTATTACATTTCAGCTTTCTAATTTTTTTGCTAATACCTACGTTCCATCTGTTGAAATTCCTTTGCAAGTGTCCTCTGCAAATATTCGGTGTCCCCAATTCGTCCAAACTGCAGTAATTCTCTGACTCTCTGCATTTTTTCTCCGAGACAATAATGAGGGTAAGACATCTTACTAACCTGACAAGAAATGTCAAGGCAGAAAAGCGCAAGGAATTGCATTTGATCTTTTGGAATGTGAGACCTTCTAATCCAATGAGAAACGACAATCAACCCGTCAATTTCAATCCTTCTTATCATGTGGTTACTTAAAATAGTGCTGGACCAACAATAACCACAGTTGTAGCCCAGCAAACCACCCTAACTCGAGTCAACTTCATCTAGTGGAAGAGCAGTGCTCTTAAGTATTTCCTATTCCAGTCATGGAACAGAATTGGGAGAACCTGTAGGTATTATTGCGGGAAAGATCCTAGCCATAGGGCTTTGGCAGGTGTCCGTTAATTCATATCCTCAGCTTTGGCGACTAATTTGGTCACATTGCCTTAAAGCATGAGTCAGCCACTTAAGCACATGAAAATAATACTAGGCTTGACACAATATCAATCTGTCATTTAACGCATGACCAAATTGCATTACACCCTAATATTCTAATTCTATATAAATGGATTGCACAACCTAGCAAAAGCCAACAAAATTAGCCGCTAGAGTACATGAAGGCAATACTAAGATGATCACACCTCGCAGTATCCAAGCCATTGCCTCACCAAATTTCAGGTACAAAGGACGAAGAGATGACCCACCACCTGTAGAATCATAAGGTCATCTTATGTCCAATTATGAATCCTGTCTCGCTTGATGTCTCCGGATGATACATATGATTCTATAACTAGGGCCAGGCGAACCTTTTCTTATTAGCTTAATGAAATTCATTAAGAAAGCCAAGGAGGAGCAAAACTCACAGATAATTCACAAGAGAAAAAATTTATAATTTAATGGTTAGCCATTCTATCAACAATAATTACATGTCACAAGTCAGCCCAAGGAAAAGTATATGTGAACTGAAATGACAGGAAAAAGTTTAACTTTCAAGATATAAGTACACATGGAATTTCTACTGGAAGCTTTCTATAAATGATGATGCCAAAAATTCCACTTGGTATGTCCATCGGGTATAAACAACTAACGACTAAAGATTTTGGGGTTCCAGGTGCCATATTTTAAAGGACATATAATTAGGAACTAGAACAAGTAAGAGAAAATCAGTCACGGATCAATGTCAATTTCTTCATCAGCCTCAGATAGATCTAGAAGCAGCATAACAGGATCTTGATCATATAGAACCTTCAAGAACACGACAACAAGTTCACTGTCGAAATTCACAAGAGTATATAGGAATTCACCACAAGGAAGGACCCTAATTGACAAAAGTTAGACAAACCTATTGTATGTTAATAGTTGATCACTTGGCTCTGACATCGGTCGCTTTGTACGTTTCAGAAGCCAACTGAAGAAATTTGCAAAAGCTTCAGCAACATGCACATTATTAACCAATACAAAATGCTTTCGACCCCTAAGGCAAATTCCACAAGCATGCCATAGGCTCGAGAATTCCATAGGATCCTACCAATATTCTGATCCTGCTCTAGATCTGAGCAGTCGCACAATAATTATTTTCATTTTGAAACACGTAAGATTGCACTTCTTTAGGGTAGCATGTGAGAATTGAAAAGGTACAAACAAACCCCAAGTTGTGCGAGGTATAGGAAGCAAAGCTACAAAAATTCATGCAATTTCTCTTATTTGCTCTTTCAAAAGCATGACAATATCAACAAAACAACAATGTGTTATTGTCAGTATTCCGTAATAACCATAACATGTACTAAATGGACCTTTGTTGAAGAGGTTCAAGTCATGTGAAAAGGCGAGTATTCTGTAACGACCTTAACAGGAACTAAAGGGACCTTGTTGAACAGATTTAAGTCATGTGTAAAGGCGCACTGTCTAACAATGACTCCTTTACAATGTCGATAAGAAGCACATTTTTCAACTAATTAAATGCTATTTGACTTACATTTATTTGTTATTCTGAGCACCCAATATCGTGTCATATCCACAAATAGTTCAACTTCATGTCTAAAATTTAGGAATTTAGTGTCACTAAAGACATGATACCATACGTGATGAGAGACAGGCAAGATATCACAATAGTCGCCAATAGAAGATATCAAGAAAGGTAGAGAAATCATAAGAAAGATTTTAACAGGCATACCGGCTGCACAGCAGATGAGAGCACCCTCATGAATCCCTCAACCTGTATAAGCAGCATTCCAGCCTTTTCTACTGCATTATCCACCAGTGTCTCATCCAAACCAATACTTAGATAATGAGAACGCCATCTTGAAAGACCCTTGAGCTCACCCATTCTAAAGCCAATAATTTCTACAGCAGGCTACTAAGTAAATAACAATACTTCAATTACTTAACCCCATAAGTCAAATATCATCTCTTATTAAGGAAATTGACACACACTCATGAGGGATAAAAATAGCATTGAACACATAAGTTACATGCTGGAACCATCGAAGTTAAAAGTTTACGAAAGAAAATGTTTTACATAGTAAATGGTCATTACAAGCCATCTTCATCTTCTGCAAACTGTGTTTGAACTAAACAACGTACTCTAGAGTCTCTGACAAATAAAGTTATACTGGAAAATTCATTAAAGAAATGGAGCCTAGTCTGCTATCCAATTCAAGCAAGGAGGATAGAAGTTAGGAATGTTCATGTGAAATTATCAAGTCCTGCCCCAAAGTCGCTGTAAGAGAGAGAGAGAGAGAGAGGCCATTTATGTGATAATTGTGGGCTATAAGCACAATATTGACAGGAATTGCCAGTGTTTTCAAGGAGACAAAGCCCTAGCCCTTCTGGTGGGAAGGGTAATTTCTTTACTACATTCAAATATCGAACCACATCTCTATCCAACAACTTACGCTTTTTGATCACTTAGCACTAGTCCCATAAAATTCCACATGGAACTAGAGTAGGAGGTACTCCATTCAAAACTGTCCCTGTTACCTATTTACCTCCCCAATTATCAAATTTTACACTTCAATCTAAGGCGAAGTCCTAGCGTACAAGAGAGGCGGAGTATTATGACGTTTAAATAGTAAACCACATCTTTATTTCATAGCTTAATCTTTTTATCTCTTGGCAATTGTTCCACAAAGTTCTACACCGTCGTGAATGCACATTTTGAATAGACAAAAGGAGAAAGGAGCCCAAAAGCATCGATTGGCAGTACCATGGAGTTAAAAAGAGTTCATAAGCCCTAGTAAGAAAGAAATAGGCAGGCTTTCAAAAATGAGGAAAGTTCTTTAGGTGCTGTAAAGGATCTTTGGCTTTCCACCTTATTTTTTTCACATTGTGGTGGCAGTTATTTGGACACCAAGTCTTTCTTTAATTTTTAAGGTAAATATGAACTTATAGGTAGTAATTTGTAAGTAAGAGGCATCCCCTTGGTGCTCTTGTTGCCTCTTTAATAAACTTACTTATCAAAAAAGAAAACAGGAGAGTCTATAACCTTAAAGAATATAACTAGAAACATCATTTCTCACTATAGTAGTAATCAACAAGAATGTGTAGCGCATACATGAGAGTCATTGTACCCAGGAGAAGCACAGAATCTAATCTAATTAACAACACCCCTATATTGTGCATGTATATGTGTGCACACCTGTGCAAGCACATGATCGCATGCATGTGCACGCCGAAGCACATGTTCACAACATACAAAAATGCCCACATGCATGGAGAGAGATCTAGCAGGGGAATAAACTGGCAATATATTTTCTCTAGACAATAAAGGATTTTGTTGAAAGAAAAAGTTCCGGTACATCGGTATATATGAGAACAAAACAAAAGAAAAACAAACAAAATTGAAGCATTAGAAGAGTATACAGAATCAGAACATCATGCTCAAAGTCGGTTAAAAGGTACAACGTAGAAGCAACCAAAGATTCCAAACCCTACATTTTGTTGCTTTTTTTCCTAAGGCCCCACATGAGACAAAGGTGCGGCACTTCAGGACTTCTTAGAATCCTCCTAATTAGGCATTCCAACAACTAAAAAACTGGATGGCATGTTTTGGCAAGAACCAATTTACCTTAGACAAGCCGAAGATTTGATGCAAAAGCTTGGGAGCGAAGTCAAAAAGAAGAAAGAGATGATCAACATTTTCCCCCAAATGCTTTCACACACAACACCATTCTATGAAAAATCAATTACGTTTCCTGAGATTCTCAATTGTAAGAATCTTATTCCAGTTTGGTGCATATTTACTACAAAACTTACACTCCCAAGAAATGGAAATTGATTCTCACAGATTGGTGTTCTATGTGTAAGCATTTGGCGAAATGTCAAGGAACAAGGAAGCTTTGGTAGCAGATTGTTATCGTTTAAACAACGAAATGATCATATTGGACATTGTGTTCGTGAGCCAAGCCCAAGATTAGGAGTTGGAAGCTTTTGCCTGCCTTCTTTTATGTCTTGCATAATTCAAAGATTTCTGTTGCCTTTAAAGATGATTTTTGTGTGGAACAACGGAAGAGATGGAATTTTTTCTGTAAAGTCTTACAAGCTGCTCGATAGGGAGATTCGTGGTAGAACAGATTTTCCTCAAAAAGCGATTTGGAAAGTGAGGATTCCAATTAGAGTTTCGCTTTCTGCTTGGAAAGCAACCAGGGAACAAATCCTTACTTTAGAAATAAGGTAAAAACTGGTTATCAGGTGTTTCCAGAGCAAAAGGAGACAGAGTCCGTGCGGCATCTCCTCCTTCACTGTTCTTGGAAAAGAATGGTTTGGACAGTTTCCTATGCTTGCACCATGTTATCTTGGGCTACCAACACACTTCCAAAAACGGAGCAATACGAGGGACTAAGAGTAGTATACAAAACTGATTTGAAGAGGTAAAATGCGAGTATAATACGTAAGGAGGTCACAAACACCTAACATGAATCTTTCTGGCATGCGACTTAGTAAACCAATTTCAATACTAGGACTTAACATCCTCAGCATTATTTTGCCAAAAAAGAGGTGTTATATCAAAAATCATGATCTAAAGATATGATGAAAAATAATAAAATAAAACAATCAATTCTCACATCTAAGCACGAAACAAATGATTGTGAACAGAGGCTCCCATAACCATGGTCAAGCATCACAGATTAGATCCATGTAGGATCCATTCACTGTCATCCGAGCAACCACCAGTTAGTTTTCTGTTCATTTTCTTCAGTTAATTGAGTTTTCATTCTCATCCTTAGCTTGTTGACAATAAACTTAAAACAGGAAAGAAGAGTTTCACTTACTACATCGAGTTCAATGAGTGGAATTTGGTAGTATAAATAAGTCTAACTTCTCCTAGGCTCTAACAGTAATATCGGTAGGTAAAAATAGTTGAATATGATTCTTTGGTACAAAATTGACTCTCGCAATTATGAGGGGACGTATGCTAAGATCGAAGCAGGCAATAAACTCTTTCCTTTTAAACTGAGATATATCTCTACACCTGCTAATTATAATGTGAATGTATAAACATTCTATATCCAAATCTCCATGTACGGTACTCTTAAAGCCCAAACTTAGATCAAGTTCAAACCAATGATTAATGACCTACAATTTCCATTATATGCTTATAGGAGAGATTGCCAACTTGTTGAATCAGACTCAAATCAGATTTTACTTCACCCTTTCCAGCCACTTATGTTGGTAATTCATATCATTGCATATAATATGTTCGTATGAAGAATCAACAGCAGGATGTTCTTAAAAATATGGCGTGTCTCAAGATGTGCGAAGCATAACTTATTGTAACAAATTCCTATCTCTATCTAATCACCTCCATGACTGTTCTCTGAGATGCGTCAAACTTAATTATTAATTAGGGGAAAAGGCCAAAGGCAAAGATAATAACGTGCACCAGCAGATGATTGAGGACAACCGGCTGTAGTTCTTTTCCAGCACCTCAAACAACTTTTGATACACCCTTAATACCCTATCACTGAACAAACTAGCAGACTAAGATTATAAAAACCAACCAAAAAAAACCAAAGTCCCATAGCAGCAGTGGAGCTTAAAAAACCAGCCATACCACTTCACCCAGCGAATTAACAAGAAACTGATGGACTGCAAGACTGGTCCTAGCACCTCCGAGAAGACTCAAAAATTCCTCCTGAGGAGAAGAATCAAGACCTAGATAAGCAAACGAAAACAGTAAAATGAAGAAAAACGAAACGTCATCTGCCGCTCTGTATTAACAATACCACTCACTAATAAGGTTTGACAGCAAATCAAACTTCTCATGAAATATGTTGATGGCATCAGCCCACTGCTTGTCCATGACTGATAATGATGTCAGGATGACATGAAGTAAATCTTCAATGTTCAAGACCTGTTGAGCAACTTGATGAAGTTCTTTTTTTCTGCAGACAGAAAGAGATTGATTATCTAAGGAGGCATTCGGCTGATAAAGATTCTCAAAAGTCTGTTCTGATTTCAATTTAAGAATTAAAACAGAACAGAAAATACGTTTGCTAACACTCCGAAAGCAGTTGATGCATAAAAGGAAAACTATTCTCAATATCAAAATCACAAACTGAAGATGACTTGTTAGTATTCTCATTCCACATGCAAACAAGGAGATTTGGAATAACTAAGCCTGTTTTTTGAAAGTGATGTAACCTGAGCATATTCTCACAATTTTCATCCCTAATAACATATATTATTTTCACTAAACAAATATTTTGTCAAAAAACTTTGAAAGCAGTTTCTATGGAAACGGAAACTAAAGGCGTTCTCTAAAACTAAGCAGGCCTTAGACAGTTGAGAACAAAAATGACGTGTGAATCATGTGACAATGCTTAAAATTTTGCAACAAATTTGCCTCACAACTTTCAACATCTGAGCTTCATAGATTTCTAGAGGTTTTTATTGAAATATAGTATGATACTTACAGGTTGGGTAGAAATCTGAAGCATGAATAACATAATTCAGGCTTCGAAGTACGAGGCATCATCTTGTTCAGCTTATAATGACTCTCAAAAGTCAACTTAAGCATTTAAAATCATCAGAAGGAAAGTTCTTCCATCATGTAAAGTTTAAAGTTATTTCTAAGAAAATTGCATCGAAATTGCTCCATGTTAACTGTCCATTTCTTTATAAGGATGATGATAATATCCCGAGTTAATACGAGTTTTACTTTCCTTATGGCCAAACAAAGTTAGATACCACTGAAACAAATATTAGTGCACATAAACAACCTAACATAATCGTAATATCAAGTACAATCACCACTACATAAACTAGAACAGAAGTTTCACCTAAAACTTCAACAGCATTAATCCTAGTGCAACTAAGTCATCTCTAGATTTCCACTTGTATCACCTTCATTCACTCTTGGTTTTTCCGTAAAACACCAACTCCTTAGTTCGACATCATGTTCTCAATTAGACTTTCAAGCACTTCACCTCCATATTTGTCCTCCATCGAACTCAAATCGAGCTAGATTGGCAATTACAGTGGTTCCTCTCGCGAAAAGGGAGCGTAGCACATTTAGGAAAAGCGAAAGAAGTAAAACGAGATAAGGTCAATGACTCAAAGGGCGCACCAAGCCATCGTTGAAGAAACGAACACATTGAATAAAAAAGAGAACTTTCTGTAGTCAAAGCAATTACCAAGAGAGACTGTCGACAACCTCTGCCAATTGAAGCAATGAAGCACCACCTTCGAGTCCTCCGTAACCATCGCCAGCAAATCCTTCTTTGGAATTCACTCCACCATCTTCACCTGCCAATCGAAAATTGAGTAAACTTCACAAACCGAGTCGGAATAATCGAGTCAACCCATTAGGTCGCAAAAGAACGCTGAATGGGAGCCGAACCTGAGAAGCCAGCGGCTCTGAGAGTATGCGGAGAATATTGCAGAAGAGGAACAGGTGGGAGAGAAAATAAGAGAGAGAGACTGACAGACATACTTGATTACAGGAATGGAGGCTGACACTTTCAGCTCCGCAAAGCTTCTATCAAATATAATACAAGCAATGTGGGATAACAACATGCTAACAAGCTTTACCATTCCAAGGATGCATTGTCAGGGTTTAGAGAAGTTCCTGGAACATCGAGCTCCTGATCCTTTGATGATTTCGATTTCTTTTAGAAATGCCTTGCGAAAGCTCTCTTGAATATTTTAGCATTTACATCAAGCAGTGGAATGATAACCGAATCCTGCCAGTGAGTCAGATGAAATCAATCCAGCAACTAAGATCACCGAACTACTAATAATACTCTGAAATTTGCAGATCTCTGTTTGTCAAACTCGATATCCTTTTTGAACTCTTTGGATCCAACTAATGGGGCATCTAACATCATCAACCGCAGAAGCCTTGATCAAATTAGAATAGTGAATTCAACTCAAGTTGCTTGCTTTTGTGGGACATAGTATGATTCTTTTCCTCATCATTATGTGCTATTCATGCATTAGAATTAATGCAACATAGTTTTCAAATGGCATGTAGGATACCGAAAAGTTTCCTCAGGAAACTTATGGAATTGCTTCCTCTGTTTTTATTTTCAGCAAGTAAATGCACTAACAAGAGCTTATGCACAATATAAGGGATTATTTCACAGTACAGTTGATTATGTCAAAAGACATTCTAGTTAATATCTTGCTTGGCTCAAAAGTTCAGGTATATGACAGATGGTTTTACCAACTCTACAAACATCAAGATGCATTCTTTGGAAGAATGATGTATGTTTCATTTCTGTCCTTATGCAGTTTGCAGGCAGATTTGATTTAGAGACGATGCACGCATAAAATGTGTGGAACACAATGATTGGACAAATTTTATCCCAAGTCAGTAGCGTATGCATACTAAGAGATGCCCTGTCAACATGCTCCTTTTGCACAGTAAATTCACTCATCCGAGTCATCCGTATCATCTAATTCCTCATCTGATTCCTTGTTTGATTCCTCATATGATTCCTCGTTTGATTCCTCGGCTGATTCCTCGTGTGATTCCTCATCTGATACCTCATAATTTTGATAAATCTGCGTTCCAGATAACTCTGGAATTGTTTTGAGTGACTCGCACCCACTGATCCTCAGTTCTTCCAAAAACTCCAACGTATCGAGGCCTTGAATTTCGGCTAAGTTTTTGCAGCCTACGGCTTTTAATATCTGAAGCCTCCTGGATTTTGGAAGGTCTAGCCTTTCAATTGAAGTGCACCTAGAGATATCTAAGCTTTCCAAAAACACTAACCTATCAAGGCCTTGAATTTCGGCTAATTTCTTGCACGATCGAGCATCTAATGTCTTCAGCTTGCCAGATTTTGGAAGGTCTAGCCTTTCAATTGAAGTGCACCTATAGATATATAGGCTTTCCAGAAACTTCAACCTATCGAGGCCTTGAATTTCAGCTAATTTCTTGCACGATCTAGCACATAATGTCTTCAGGCTCTTGGATTTTGGAAGGAGCAGCCTCTCAATTGAATCGCAGTCTACGACAGTCAAGCTTTCCAAATATATCAATTTGTCAAGACCTTGAACTTCAAGTAGATTCCCGCAAAATTCGACGGATAATGTCCTTAGATGGATAAACTGTGAAACATCCAGCGTTTCAATAGATCCACAGCAGCTGACATCCAAGAATTCCAACTTGAAGGGGGTGTTTAAGGATTGTGGTAATTCTAATTCTTCAATGTCCATCGGTTGGGAGCATTCTGAATTCTTTACTAGTGTTGATGGAAGCACCTGGATGCACTCGAGAAATTTGCAGCCCCAAACATGTAGTTTCTTGAGATGGGTTAGGTGGGAAAGTGAGGGCAATTTGCGACTTTGACCGCTGACGAGCAAATCTGTTAAGTTGGAAGGAAGGTCGTCTGGCAACGATTGAAGCTCAAAGGAGCCAAGAACATCAAGCCGTTGTAGGGAAGAAAGATTACACATGCTTTCCGACATTTCCCCTTTCAGATTTCTGCAATGGAAAGCACGTAACTCTCGGAGCTTTCTCAGCCTCCCAATACCCTTGGGTAATTCCTCTATACCACTGTAAGAAATATCTAGAATCTCCAGATTCTCCAAAGACCCCATGCTATCTGGCATTTCCCCTTTCAGATCGCTACAATATGAAGCATGTAACTCTCGGAGCTTTCTCAGCCTCCCGATACCCTTGGGTAATTCTTCTATACCGGCGAAGGAAATATCTAGAATCTCTAGATTCTCCAAAGACCCTATTTCTGCTGGAAGCTCCCTAAGGCTCCAACACCAGTGCAACTCCAAGTGAAGGAGGGCCTTCATGTCTCCAATTGAAGAGTCGATCTGCATCAGTCTCCCACACTCATTGAGGATCAAAACCTCCAAATGCTTAAAATTTGAGAGGAAGATTGTATTTTCCAAGGATTCACAAAATGAGAGGTCGAGAAATTTGAGCTTCTCTGCCATCTGGTAAAATAAAAATAATAATGATTGTCAAGGGGTTAGTCTAGAGTGATTAAGATTCAAAAGAAAGCATAAATTTTTTTTAAAAAAAAGACTTGTCCTTACCATAAAAGAACTCCATCCTTCCCATTTCTCATTTATCTCGCTTCTTGACAATTCGAGTACAGCTAATTCCGTTACGTGCAAATTTTTTACTTCAAAATTCACGGGACATTTTTGCCATCGAAGCCATCCTAACTCCTCAATTGAGTCCTTAAAATCTCCACTAAGATGTGCCCCTTTCATGTAAAGGAATCTTAGACTGGTCAATTTTTTGAATTGTTTTGCTGTGTAAATGTCACCATCTCGCTCAGCTGTTTTGCCGAAGCCTTTTGCGCTGCCTTCACTCAGATCAATGGCCTCAATCTTCTCCGTTCCCTATAAGCAAGAATCAATGTTCATTAAAACTAAATCCAACTAAAGTAATCTAATATTATTTGTTCAAACTGCTATTGATGTGCATTAATGTGTTCAAGAGACCACTAATGTGAAGATATGATTTTCTTTTTACGCCAATAAAGAGTATTTATGAAGGCTAACAAAGTGAAGGATGTCAACTTCCATTTTGAAATTTGGCCATACGCATTCGGATCTTAAAAAGAATTATGATGTAATGGCTCATTCAGAGTAAAAACTTTACAACATGTAATCTTCTTCTTTTCGGTACTGTAGCTTCACTACCATGCTAGTTGAGACAAGCGTGCAATGCAGGGAATTTAATCAAATTGTAATGTGCAAAATCAAAAGTACATTTGATCAATTTTAATATAAATAAATTTTCTTCTCTATGTAAATTTCATATTAATTTTGTGTATATTACTTGATTGTGCTACTTACGCGATTAATAAAAAAAATAACATATACTCTTATTTTCCATTGGAGTAATAACTAATTACAAGAAACTAAATATTGTGATAGTAGTAATATTAATATATTATGCAGTTATTGTTTTACTACTAGTAACTTGAAATATTGTTAATTAATTATTTTCTAATTATAGATAACTAAGACAATAATGTTAGTTACATTAATATTCTCTACAACTTCTTATTTTATTATAAATTTTAGTTTAGCTATAGATTACAATTTGATAAAATCATAATCATAAAATAACTGATTTACTCAAGTATAATAAATATAATAAACAGACCCTGATAACTTTGATGTATATTAGAAATATTTAAATTGTTGAAAGTGCAAAGCATTTTTGAAATGAGAAAATTGAAGCTATTCTTGACTACAAGCCTACATGGAATAGCTTTTCCTTGCCCCCCACCCCAGGAATAACTATTTCTTATTGTGAGAGAATATTAATTTCTAATCTATTTTTTAACAAAATGAAGGAATAATTGCTTCATCAGAATAGATTGGAAATAAAATAGTTATTCTTGAGAACCAAATGTGTAGCAAGCTTTCACAAAAAATAAAAAAAATAAAAAATCAATTATGCGCAAGAAGTAAAGAAGGAAGATTTTCATAGATATTGATAGGTGAACCACATAACAATTTGGGAAGGAATTAGATTTCAACACCTAAAAGGAATCCAAGAGAAGAGTAACTATAAAAAAAGAAGGAAGAAATCTTCAACAGAAGTAATCTACTCACATTAGTGATTTCCCCCGTAAACTTCCCACTCAAAATATCAAGATACCCTATCTATCTTCAAGATTTCTTTGTGTGTGTGTGTAACTTTTTTCAATTTAAAAATCGATAGCTAAAGTTTGGCCAAATCCCGGAAATAGGCCCAACCTTTTGTACTTGGGACAAAAGTAGGAAAACCTTTCAAACGTCTATAAAGCCTAACCTTCAGCATCCGCAACAAAAATAACATAACCTTTCAAACGTAATAAAATAGCCCAACTATTTAACCGTAGAACAAAACCGACACTTGTTATAAATTTCATCCATTATCATTGTTAAATCGCCATGATATTCTTACATTGGTCATTTTGCCAACGCATACAATGAGCCATGTCAACGCACACCAAAAAAAACGGCATGTTTTATTTTATAATCTTGTTAACAAACTTTGTTTATGATCTTTCTTACAAAATTTCCGGATTTTTGTAATAAAAGAAGAAGTCATTTGTGGTCATGATTAACGTGGTTCATTGTGCATGTTCACACAATGAGCTATGTAGGATGACGCGGGGCAATTCAAAGTGAGTAGGAAGAATTGTGGCAGGTGTCATTTTTGTCCCATGAGTAACAAGATGAGTTTGAAAGGTAATGTTATTTTCGTCCATATACAAAAGGCAGGGCTTCTTTTTAAGATAGTGCCATGGATGAAGAGTGAAATGGAGTCATGCAAAAATACTGAAATAATTATATAAAAATGTACCTTTTTAGTTGTAAAATTTAGCTATACCATTTTACTTGTATATAAAATGTACACCATATTCGTTTTTCTTTTGGTTAGTTTAGTTTATTTAATCATGTAGTATGAAAAGACGTAATAAATAGACATTGACTTTGAATTTGTTAATATATGAATTGGCTCATGAGATTATACATGGGTCGCCCGTTGAGATCGCAAATAAGTGCTAGTCTTTTGAGCAACAACTTGAGTCAACCCAAATGATGGATTAAAAGTAGTAGAGTCAAAATTATGATTAATTTGACAAATGCAAATACAATCACATACTTAATTATACAAAATAGAATTTGAGTATTTATCTCTTGGACTTTTAATGAAGAAAAATTAAAACATTTCTCTTTTTAATGATTGTTGCATAAAATACGCTTGATGTTATATATATACATACATATACCCACACACGCACACACACACACACACTATATATATACATTATGTATCGGAATTTCTGTTCCTATCTTATTCGGTAAGTTTTAAATCAGTTGTCCTATTAATATTGGTAAATGGAATTCCCAACATAATATAACATAAAATAAGTATCCCTTCCATTCTCCATTATGGAATAATGACTAAAATTTCATGAGAAATGCGGGCATTGTTAGTCCTATTATATTAATTTTACAATCTAGAGATTATAATTCTATGATTTATATATCCTGAGTACTTATGATTTATAGTAGCATAGTCAAGTTATTTAATGCGTGTGTCGAAGATGTAAATGAAGCAATCATAAAAGTTCAAGATCTTTTCATAATATGCACTTTAAGAAAAATCTCAGGTAACACAACAATACTTCTTAAGAGAGAGCAACTTCCCTACTTTCTAATCAAGTCAATGAAACATTCAAGGGCAATTATAGTATAAGTTCTCTGTTCACTAGAGCAAGCAGCAAGTAGAGGACCATCATTACTCTAACAGTAGAACATGGACTAAGCGAGCAAAAGGAACGAAATGGTTACCTTATTTTCCTTTAGCACTTTCTGGACTTCCTTGGAGTCCCACAACCTGCTACGGTACTGAGGCTCTTGTTGGTTTTCCTCGCGAACTATTTCCCTTCCAAGATCTCTCAGTTGGTCATGCATTATGAACTCGTGATGATCTCCAATTTTTATTAATGACATGAATCTCAATTCTTCAATTCCCTCTTCTGGAAAAAAGCCACAAGCGTCCCACATATAGGATGTGATTATTCTGTCGGTGCCAATGAAAAAACAAGCAATATCCAAAAATATTTGTTTTTGTCCATAATCTAATTCTTCATAACTTATCCTTAACTTTTCTCGCACTTTCTTATGAGGGACTTTTTTTAACTTGTCTATTGTACCTCTCCAGAATGCTGGCTTTTTTCCGCACAAAGATGAACCTAAAACCTCAAGAGATAAGGGAAGCCCTCCAGTGGTAGTTATAACATCATGAGCAAGGTCCTCAAATTCACTTGGAGGAGAATTACTTCGAAATGCATGTCTACTAAACAGAACCATAGAATGATTCTCATCCATTACCTCATGTTCATATTTGAAGTCCACCCCTTCATTGTCAAGAACGCTAACTTTTCTAGTGGTTATAAGGATCCTACTTTCAGAAGAAAACCAATTATGGTTTCCAACCAAAGCCTTCAATTGATCAACATCATCCACATCATCAAGAAGAATAAGGACTGTCTTATCTTTGAACTTGGATGAGATGAACTTAATCCCGTCATCCTTATTAGAAATTTGATTCTTTTGATTCAATATATCAGAGATTAGTTGATTCTGCAAGTACTCAAGTCCATTACGTTGACATGATTCCCTAATATCTGCAATGAAGCTACGATACTTAAACTGATCGGAGAGCTTGTTGAGGATGGTTTTAGCAAGAGTCGTCTTACCAATGCCTCCCATTCCATGGATTCCGATAAATAGGGTAGCACTAGAATTATTATCTACAAATTTCATAACCTCCTCCACATGACCATCAATTCCGACCAAATTTTCAGGAATAACCAATGCAAACTCTTTCTTCAGCTCCCTCAACACTTTTTGGACGATCCATTTCACCAATTCTCCTTCATACCTATCAAAAGTTACGAGTTCAAACATGTGGCAACAGTCATTTTATGTTATTTATCTAATGAGAACACAATAATAAACAAATATGGGATAAATTGAAAAACTTAAAAAATTGCTTTGGTCACACCTCCATGCGAAGACCAAAGTAGGAAATGTTGGGGGTTGCTTCGCATGGCATGCCCTAATCCATTTTTACTTTGACATAATTTATTGAGCTGGAAGAAACTTGAGGAAATCACAAATGAATTTTGAATTGAATATGTTATAAATTTGAATCAAAATTTAAACTTGTTGTTTGTTAAAGCTATCAAGGATGACGTGGATGACAGGATGTAACTTTAAAAACTTTCTAGAGTTTTTGAATAAGAAGTCCAATAAGCCAGCCCTGTAAGATAGTCCAACGATCTCTCAATAAATATGACATAACTTCTGATGCAAGAGAAATTCGTGTCCTGTAATATCAATCTGGAAAGTTGTTTGAAGTGCTATATAGTGAACTACCTTAATACAATTGAGGGAATTTGTCCTTATTTGTGCAATTCTACATAATGTGACGTACACTATAAACATGAAAAAAAAAATGGCACAATGTTTCAAATCTTTGGATATAAGAGTAAAAATTCATTAAAAAAATTTTATTATTCAAGCGAATGAGATCATAACAATAAAATCTATAAATAGATTGGTCATATCATTAAAGCAAAAAACAAAAACAAAAAAGAATAACCTATAGAACTCATGCGTGACAGGATCTTACTGTTTTTTAATATATATAAAAGAATGAAAATGAAGCAGGTGAGAATCAGAACAACCAGTAAACACCCATACATATTATAAGAAAGTAGAGAATGATTTGATGAAAACTTTTACCCATCGGCTTCGTATCCTTTCAAGGTGCTGACCGCAAGGAGTGCTTTCTTCCATTTCTCCAAAATTGTTGGGTCGAAACTCCTCTCAAGCGAACGCTTTTCACGCTCATGAAATGCATCTCCGAAACTCCCGATTTGATGTCCCACATCTGCTGGTTTCACTTTGTAGAATATAGGCAACACTATCTGCCTATTATTATTCTTGCACTCCATTATTTGAACCAGTTCATCTAGGCACCATTTGCTCGATCCATAATTCACCGAGAGAATGGGGATCAGGATCTTACTGTTCTTGATGGCAGCCAAAAGATCTGGGCCGATCTCCTCGCCTTGGCGGAGCTCGTTATCGTCTCTAAAAGTACAAATTCCAGCATCAACGAGCCCAATATAGAGGTGATCGGTGAAGCCTTTTCGAGTATCTGGACCTCTGAAACTCAAAAACACCTCATAGCAATTCCCAGTTGACGCAGTCAACGAACTAGATGTACCGTTGCTAGTTTCTGTCGGAGACGAACTAGATACACTGTTATTCGTTTCTGTCGGAGATGAACTAGATCCACCGGAATTAGTTTCCGTCAGCGCAATCAACGAATCAGATGCGCCAGCATCAGCATCTCGCGCATTTCCACGCGCACTAGCTTTCTTCTTATTGAGAAAATAGAACGCAAGCCCGGGGAGAAGGATCAGTGCCACGAGCTCGGCGAAAGAATGCCCAAAAATGAGAAGATGCATTTCGTCTTTGCTCCGACTCTGCCCTTGATTTTCGCTCTCAAATCTGACGGAGAAAAATCCAGAATGCCTGCCTCTCAGGAAACGGGAAATGCCTTCTCATTGCCCATCCTATTGGGGTCTGTTAAAATTTCAGTACACATAAAGCGATGGATTTGTTGGGGGAAGATGAAAAGTGGAGAGGGAGAACGACTTGGGACGAGACTGTGACATGGATTTGCGGGAGAAGATGAAAGGTGGGGAGAGAGAGAAAGAGAGAGAGAGGGGGAGATTCGTCGGGTCACATATTTTCCAGACAGGTGCTCGGAACAGATAAAAACATCAAAGCGTCACGACAGGAAAGAGGGCACGCTTGGTCCACTGATTGCACCATGGAACTGTCCTTTTCGAGTTTGTTTTTGTTGAATATATTTAAACTCTAAATCCCACTTAGAAATTTAACATTCTCTCTTTGAGCCTTTTAAATATTATACTGTGCAACCAAGAAACTTCATCTTTATATTAAAATGTTGTACTATTAATAATTACTTATTCTAAAAAATTATGTTTTTACGCGTGTCGAGAATCATAAAAAAATTTCAACATGCTATATATATTTATTTATTTATTTTGTACCCGAGCACAGTGAGAAGATTTCTTTTCAGCTCTGATTCTGCCTTAATTTATCCTTTAAATATTATAAAAAAATCAAAATGCCTTTTTGCTTTTGCTTTTACTTTTGCTTTATTATATATTTATTTGATGTATCTGATCCAACCAGTAAGAATGTACCAATAATTCAAACATGTCAAGCTTGATATAAATTAATAATTCTTTGACCAGGACCACTGACCATGCATTTACAGCCGTTGCCTTCATGTGGTGGAAGTTTCAACGCACAGGAGAATGCAAGGCGATCCTACCCAGGAAGAAGAAAAAATGTGAGCAAGTTTCGATGCAAAGCAATGAAAAAAATAAAACCAAAAATAAAAGACAATTGCAGTTATGGTATCGTAGACAAGTGGTCATGGCAATATCTTGATTTGTATTGTCGTATCAAACCGATAAATTTCATTTCGCTATCAAATTATTGTATTATCAATGATCGATTATCCTAAAGTCTTTGGACAAAAGCTCTAAATTAATTTGTTGAACATATTTATGAAATCATACCGAAGTCTCTTGTGAAATTATCAAATATCTTGAATGGAGATCAATGAAAGATGAAATTTGTTTTCCTATTGTTTTCGCTTCAATTATTTTCAATAAGGCTTTTGTTTACTAATTCAAAGTCCAAAAGCCCCGCTGCATATTTTTGAAGGCCTAATTCCAAAAAAAACCCTCAACTTTACATTTTGTCCCAATTATATCCTGAACTTTTTTTTGTCTCAAGAAAAACCTCAAACTTTTATCCGAGTCTCAAATCTGTCATTCCGTTATAAATCTGTCCAATTAACGTCAGAAAAAAAAAGAACCGGTAGCTGCGGCCGTGGCCAAGCCTTCGCCGGTGGCCGCCGCCATAGCCGCTGGGAAGGAGTGGCGGCCCTCGCCGGCCCGGGTGAGTCGCCGGCGAGGGCGTGCAGCCCCCGATCTCGGGAGGGCCGGTGGCCGCCGCCACGCCCGCCGAGAAGGAGCGGCGGCCCTCGCCGGCCCGGCGAGTCGCCGGCGAGGGCGTGCGACCCCGATCCGGGAGGGCCGGTGGCCGCCGCCACGCCCGCCGAGAAGGAGCGCGCGGCCCTCGCCGCCCGGGCGAGTCGCCGGCGAGGCGTGCGGCCCCGATCTGGGGGGGCGGTGGCCGCCGCCACAGCCCGCCGAGAAGGAGCGGCGGCCCTCGCCGGCCCGGCGAGTCGCCGCGAGGGCGTGCGGCCCCGATCTGGGGAGGGCGGTGGCGCCGCCACAGCCCGCCGAGAAGGAGCGGCGGCCCTCGTCGGCCCGGCCGACGAGGGTCGCCCAAGTGAGGGCCGCCGCTCCTTCCTAGCGGCTATGGCCGACGAGGGTCGCCCAAGTGAGGGTCGCCGCTCCTTCCTAGCGGCTATGGCGGCGGCCACTGGTGAAGGCTTGGCCACCGCCGCAGCTGCCGATTCTTTTTTTTTTTTTTCTGACGTTAATTGGACGGATTTATAATAAGAGGGAAGATTTGGGACTCGGATAAAAGTTTGAGGTTTTTCTTGAGACAAAAAAAAGTTCAGGATATAATTGGGACAAAGTGTAAAGTTCGGGGTTTTTTTTGGGTATTCGGCCTATTTTTGAAGTATTCTTCCATTTTAATTGATATTGAGCTTCCTTCATCAGCCCAAAAGAAAGCTCTCGTAAGAAGAGAAAATAGATGGGGGCCCACCACTTAAATCTTATTTTTTCAGTGAAAAATAATACTTTTGGCACGAATGCAGGCCCACCATAACCTTTTTCCTTTCGTCCTAGAAAATTAAGAAACTAGAAAAGACGCGCATAGATATCTTTATCGCATTGGATAATAGTTTTATCTCATTTCACTCATTAAGATCATAACATTAGGTAATGGTATAGTGAATATTTCCAAAGAACACAAGAAATCCTCAAGTTTTCGGTTTTATATTTGTATAAATTGATAATGTTTAGAACTTAAATAAAGCTTTTTCAACCATAGAAACTTAAGAATTCTAATTCCACAAAGTTCAACAAGCTATTTCCTTACCTACATAGTATCAATAATCACCTCATATTTCGGATTACTATAATTTAAAAAAGAGTTAATATAACCAAAAACCTCAAACTGGCATGTGTATGACAATTTTACCCTGTTTTGAAAAAGTGACTATAAAAAACTTCAAACTGGTACACCTATGATATTTTTATCCCACCGGCCACTTTTGGCCGGCCGGCAATGACGTGGACACCGGCCGGCTGACGTGGTAATATTTTAATTTTTTTAATTATTTTCGATTTTTTTTAATTTTTTTGACTTTTTTTTTCTCTCTTTCTTTTTTTTTCCTATCTTACCGGCGACCTAACAACCAACCAGAGCAGCGTACTCACCGGCCATGGTGACGGCGAGATCGGCTGAACAGCGGCCTCACCATTGCTGACCTCGCCCGCGACGGCGAGGTCGAGCGGCCGAGCAGTCATGGTGAGGCCGCTCGGCCTCCCCCAGATCTGGGCAAGGTTGAGCGGCCATGGCCGCCGCTCGACCTCGCCGTCGCACAGATCTGTGCGAGGTCCAGCTGCCCCTCGTCGATGCGGTCGTCGCCAAGCCACTCTGGCATGCTCTGTCGGAGCGGGTTCGGCGGCGTCGGAGGAGTCCGGACAACAGGAGGAAGAGGCGGCGGCGGTAGCAGCTTGGAGGCCTCCTCAATGGAGGAGCTGCAGAGAGCGATCCAGGGCGCGATCGCTCACTGCAAGAACTCCATGCTGCAGAACAACTACAAGGTCATTATCAGCAACGAAATCTGAACACCCCCCAAGAACCTCAAAGACGAAGAAGACGGTTCCATCACGAAGCCGCTCCGGTGGGCGTTGCTGCTTCATCGTTTTCATGAAGACGGGTCCATCACGGAGTGGCTTGGCAACGACCGCATCGACGAGGGGCAACTGGAACTCGCCTATATCTGTGCGACGGCGAGGCGAGCGGCGGCCATGGCGAGGCCGCTGCTCGGCCGACCTCGCCCGCGTCGGTGACGGCGAGGCTCGCCCTCGCCATGGCCGGCGAGGCCGCTGCTCTGGTCGTTCGCGAAGAAGATAGGAAAAAAAAAGAAAGAGAGAAAAAAAAGTCCAAAAAATTAAAAAAAAATCGAAAAAAATTGAAGATAATTATAAAATTTTAAAATATTACCACGTTAGCGGGTTGGCGTCCACATCATTGCCGGCCGACCAATAGTGGCCGGTGGGGTAAAATTGTTACATGTGTACAAATTTGGGGTTTTTTGTGGTCACTTTTTCAAAGCAGGGTAAAATTATCACATGCGTACCAGTTTAGAGTTTTTTGTGGTATTAACCCTTTAAAAAATAAAATACTTAATTTCAAATATGTTGAGTTTCTATATATTTTTTGAAATCAATAATTTTGAGTTTACTTTTTTTTAATATTATGAAATGATCATGCCCAAGCATGTTTTAAGATAAATTTGTTACTGTGTTTGGACAAAATTATAATCTGGAAGAGTACAAGCTCCCGTGTACAGGCTTATGTGGTGCCTACATGCAGAAACCTTATAAGATAAGAAAGTAAGCCTTTGATCATCATATTCTTGTGAATGTTCGATTTTAATCCTTATAAATTATTTTAGTGACAAAACCGGTCAAAAGCATATTTGTTAGATTGATTAAATTCATTTCCTTAGATAATCCAAATCAAGCACATATTTGTGTGCCATTTTTTTCTAGTGAATTGAATAAGCGAACTAATCTAGGTGGATCGATTCCTAATTTTCTAAACAAACACGATTTTGTTTTGGATATAATTTTCCACATCACTTTGCTGAAATAAATTTTTTTACTGACATAGAATTGTTACGTCATTCAACTAACAATGTTTTTTAACATTGAATTAATGGAGGCAGATTTGAGATTGGTTAGTGATTTGTTTAGATAAAAAAATGTTCGAGACATATTTAGGACTGGATCTAAATCTTCTTTGGTCAGCAATTTGTTAACATGTGAGAGTCATTTTGTTGGAAAGTGAGTTTCCTCCGAAGAGGGTGGCCAGTGAGAATCCTCCGTCATTATCAATCGTGACTTTTGCAAAGTCTCCAACGTTGATCACGTTTACACTTTAAAGATACAATGGTTTTTTGACGCTTTGGTTCTAACTCGAACAAAAGTTGTTCAACTTCAAAACAATGGTGAACTTGATTTCGGTTTTGGCTTTGAAATGAAACGATGGAGAAATTTAACTGTGAGCAGTAAAATTTTTGGAAATTTTTTTTGGTCGAAAAATTCTTGGAAATTAAAGTGCAAAGGAAAGGGGAACTTGGAAGACTCTCTCTCTCTTCATTTTTTTCTTTTCACCTTCTCCCCGAGAGTCTGCCTCCTCTATTCTTCTTTGGGAAAATCCCAATTAAGGACATCAAGTGGAGCATTTTTCTTGAAAGAGGACCCCAAGTGAATTTAGTGTCAAAGAAGGGCCTGAAGTGCCCAATCAGTCTCAAATAAGGACCCGAAGTGCCAAAAAAATCTCAAATAAGGGCCTGGGTCGCCGGGCGGCCAAAATGCCTGCCGGCCGGCAAGAATGTTACTATTCCGGCACCGGAACAGTAAATTTGTAATTTTATTATTATTTTTTCCTTTTCTGTTTTTTTTCTTTTTCTTTTC